GGCAACAGATATTAGAATCTGATTCAATAGACCAAGTAAAATTAGGCTTTTATTTGTTGTTGTTAATGCTCACGCAAAATTCAAATCTTGTGTGAATTTTGGGACACCCTATAGCATTTAAACAAAATAATCTCTAAGTTTTAAAAAAATAGTGCAAGTTCCATGCAAACCTGGCATCTAGACAAGCCTGATGCCTCGCTACTTCCAACGGGTTGTGTCCCTAAAGCTGAACGAAATAGAAAGTCTGGACCCACCGCTGCCCCCTGCAGGTCTCCATGTGAACGACATCGCAGGAGGTAGTGCTCCATGCGATCACAACCTCCCGCTGTGAACACGGCTCCTGTTTTCCAGGCTGTCTCCCTGTACTTTAACGCACACCGTCCCACCGGGTGGATATTTATGCTGCCCTTGACCCGTCCCCTGTGAGTCACGAGCCTTACTTGTAAAAGTGATGCCATGGCAAACAGCTACAAGCATGCTGCCCTTCTCACAGCCTGTCCTTGGGAGGAGTCGCAGAGGTGATTCCGCTGTGTGAGGGGGTGCACACACGTTTATAGGACAATACTTGGGACCAGATGATATTTGCCAAATAGATGGTATTAACTTGCTTGCCACCTGCACTACATGAGTAGGATTATTTTACTGCATCGTTGGCAGCATTGGAAATCACCTCACGATGTTGTGTTTAAATGAATCACTGAACAAATGTTACGTCTGTGTTTTACTTTTTCTGAGCACTGAGCTCTCCTTATTCCCAATGGCATCGCTCTCTGCCAACCCTGAGAGTGGGTTCCCTGAAAGGCAGGGATGCTAAGTTGATCCCCCACCCCCTCTCCAGCCCTCAACGTAGGGCTCCAGACACTGGACCTGAGCTGGAATCACTTAAGCTCACGGGCAGCTGTGTCCTTGAGCAACGGTCTCCGGGTAAGGTCTCCCTGGGAGTGGTGTGCTGAGCGGGGGGGTGAGGGGTGAAGGGTGAGGGGGTGAGGGTGGGAGGGTGGAGGTGTGAGGGAGGTCCCGCCCCACCCTGCCATCTTGAACTCTCCCTCATGGTCGCTGCTGATGCGGATATACTGAGCTCTTCCCATTGTTGGCCTCCCTCCCACAATTCCTGGATGCACGTTATTCTTTAGCATAAATCCTGTCCAGGAGAATCCACCCTGCTAGGGCCTAGTGGCATCTTTGGGAGTACTTCAGGGGAGCAGTTTAATGATGGAGTGGGAATGACCAGAACCCAACAGGAATGTTTTCTTGAGACTGCGTGCAGCTGGGAGGTCGGGGGAGAGCTGGCTGAGACCTCTCTCCAGGGACCACTGAGCCCCCAGCCTGGATGCCGACCCGGGGTAGATGCCCCTTGATACCGGTGCTCTTCTCCCCCTCTCTGGAGTCCAACGTGACCCTGAAGACACTAGATGTCTCCATGAATGGCTTTGGGAACGAGGGGGCTGCGGCCCTAGGGGAGGTCCTCAAATCCAACAGCTCCCTGGCCTACCTAGATGTCAGCAACAATGACATCAGCAACGAAGGGATCATCAAACTCAGCAAAGGACTGGAGTTCAACGAGTGCCTCCGAACTCTGAAGGTAGAGCCTTTACCTGGCTGGGAACGGGCCATTTTGCGTGTGCGTCTGTGTGTGTGCGTCCATGGGTGCACATCCAGGTATGTATCAGTGCATCGTGTATAGGTGTGCATGTGTCATGTGTGTAGGGACGGGTGCAGCAGGGTGATGGGGCTGGATATTGCCGAGGAAAATCACTGTGAAATATGCCTGGTGCGTCACATGTGCGTATATTCTCAGCTGCCTCGCTGCTACAAACCCAGGATCCCCCGCTGCTCTCAGCTGGTGTGCGTACAGTAGTCATCCCCTAACTGGTCTCCCTTCCTCCCATGTGGGTCTCCTGCAGGCCCTGGAGCATAAATGATTCCACCACCTCCCCCCGACACCTACTCCCCTGCGGCTTAGACCCCTTCTGTGGCCACCTGCTGTGCAAATCCAGGTCTCTTGGCCCTGTGTGCTTCTCCAACCTCAGTTCACCCCATGCTGTCCCTTGCTCCCCCCCAAGGCCTCAGGGTCTCCTTTCATCTCCGTGGTCCTGCCAGGGCCTTGCTCATGGCCATGCTGGGCCTGCAGG